CTGCTGCTGCTGCTGAGCTGCTGCTGTTGCTGTGTTACTGATGTCGTTGTTGTTGCTGCTGTTGCCGTAGTTGTTGTTGTTGCGGTTGCTGCAGTTGCTGTTGCTGCTGTTGAAGTTGCTGTGGTGGTTGCTGTTGCTGCTGTCGTTGTCGTAGAGGATATGTGTTGTTATTGTTGCCGCTGCCGTTGCTGTTACTGTCGCGGCTACGAATTCGGTGGTTGTTGTTGTTGTTGGCGGCGGCGTCGGCATCCCTGTTTCCCAAAGCGGATAAAACCCTAACCTGTTGAACCTCTGCTCCAGGACAAAACCGCTTAGACTTTGAATGCCCGAATTGAACCCCAAACTCCTAAACCCTACAACTTCAAAAACCCCGAACAACTTGCAAATAAGACTCTAAGCCTAAACCCTAAGCCTGAACCCGCTCCACTCTTGGAGGCCTCCGGCTGGCTAGCGCGAAAACCTTCGATTTGATTGCCTGGGCAGAAGCTTAGGCCTAGGCTTCATGGTTGAGGGTAACTACCCCCTCATAATGAGGCCTCTATACATTCGAGCCTTGGGATGGTGTGAAGGGGACTAGGCGTCACGAAACCTCATCCACCAGCAAATGCTTGTCTACACTTGTCTGCTTGGTTTGGGATGCCTCTGCCTGCCGGGGACGTGGCCAAAGTGATGTGATCTCAGCCTTTTGTTTTTACAACACCCACGAATATACAGTTTTTGCAGTGTTTGGTGTCAAGTTCGAGCTCGCGTTCTGCAGTATGACTGTGGATCCAGAGTTTCAGCTCTCATCTAAACCCAAAACACGAGTGTCGACGCAAAATGGGGATGGTCTCGGGGGCCTGAATCATCCTGAATCTATAATGATAGTACATTTGCACTAGTAGTAACTTAGACTTCGTTGTACATATGGACCCTCTGGGCAAGAACACCACAAGATACCACAAGACTCAGAAGACCGGACATCGAATCGGAGTTGCAAAAACCTAAACAGTGGGTTTTGAGGGGCTATAATCAGATGATACTAGCAGTATCATGCTGCAAGTAGTTATGCAGACCTCTACATTACCTTTTGCCGAAGAGGCAGTTGGCAATCTGCTCTTTGGCGGCCGCTGCGGATGGCCACTGGATGACCTCGCCCGGATTTTTGAATACGAGTATTCTAGGAATATACCATAGGTTCCTTTTGTCTAGGGTCCTTAAGGTAATGCAGGATTTATACTGGGCTTTGAAGTAACCAGGGAGAAACAAGTACAGACTTTTATTCTATAATGGCTCCTTTAAGGAACAGGTCCCCAAAATAAGTATTAAAGTATGCTACTCCAAAAGCCAGTATTCGCGCTTTATCGTCTTTTGGGTAGGGGTTGCTGCCAGCCATTCGAAGTAGCCCAACGCCATTTCAACCCGAGCCCTGAACCAAACTCTAAACTGGACGAACTCGAGACCGCAATACCTTGAACAAGAAATGCTGATCTCTCATCAAAACCGTATCTGCTCTAAGTTCTATCCTAGGTGCTATGCTAAGGCTGAAGCTGTTGGCATGCAGCCTCACTAGTAGAATGACAAAAACTTCTAAACCCGACCTTTCCTCATTAAGTAGATGCAAGTAACGCAACATTCCAGCCTCTCGAACTGAATCTCACCACTCAAACTACATTGATCTGCGTCGCCACATGAAATGAGACTCGAACCAACCCTCCCAGAAGGCCTCCTGCAATAGACTCTACATCCCCTGCAGCTTGAAGCCCTGAAAGCCCATAATATACCTAGGACCTGAATGACAACTGGAATAAGGCTTCGGGCAACAGTCTACTGTAGTTATAATGGGGACTCTCACGACTGTAAGGAACCATTGTCCCGACTCCTAACTACACCGTGCAGCCCTGAGCCCATCAACTAAGCAAGCGTCGGTCCCGACAATCACGTCATCGTCCTTCGAGGCGACTCGTCTCTGTCGATAAGGGGTTCGAGTTTTAACGAGGGTTCTTCAGACTGCCTCTGTAAGGGGTACTGTACCTTGAAACAGGGTTCCTTTAAATGGTTCTACAAGTCCCCTAAACCCTAAACCCTAAATTAGAGTGATCATAAGGTTCGACGGAGGTTAAAAGACAAGTTTAAGCTCAAGGGCATCGAGGGTTGAGGGGCCGAAGCAGGGGGAGAAGGAAGGTCCAATGGTAGGCGCTTCTGTTGCGTAGCATCCTAAACCCTGAACTTAAACCCTAAGCCCAAACCTTTCTTTGCGACAGGCTTTCCACTTCGAACCCTAAACCCTAAACCCTAAGAACTAAACGCTAAGACCCGAAGCCCCATCAAAGTCCGAAAGTGGCCGACTTATCCTGTCGCCCGAGATCCCAGGGCCCTAAGTGACTTCCGACAGACCCCGACGCATTGGGACTAAGACTTAGCACATTTGGATTTGACGGTTGCGATAGTACTGTAGTATTAGTATGAGCATTAGAAATGGTATCAAAATATTAGTATTCGTACTAATGCTTGTCAACCCAACTCCCACATCACGGGTCGTGGAAGCCCCAACCTGTCAACCGGTGGAAGTCCAACGGCCCGAAACCGATCAGGCAGGCACCTTGCCAGTGCGAACCGCAAAGGGGTAGGTCAGTCGAGGATCCTGACCACCAGGCTTGAATCGCCAAAAGCCTTTAATCTTCAAGCTCGACACGCCTGAAACTGCTGAGCCCCTGTCGCAATATCTATCCTCTAACACTTGGCACCAGCCGATTGAAACTTCATCCCTCTGACTACCCAAAGGCCCGAAACTCTTCCTGCTCGCGCTCACTCCTCGAGACCCATGGGTTGTAATGTAGGGGCCCAAATAATTACCTATACTGTTTTGGGGGCTCCTTGTTATGATGATAGTAACTATTAAGGCCCCTATATTAGTTAGTGCCAGCTTTCGGGTTTCCGTGTCAGCTGGCACTGGCCAGATCTTGGGCCCACAAGAAACAGCCAGCCTCCAGAACCGAAGCCTGAAAAAAGCCTCAACGACTGTAGAGGCCTTAACAAGTAGAATAGGGCTTAAGGTGCATTATATTATACTGCAACTAGAAGACGGAACAACCCAAAATAGTATAAGCTTCACATGGACCATGCCTGACTAGACGGAAAGGTGTCAGAACTCAACACTAATGTGCAAACGCCTGAAACTATCAAGCCGGAAGTGGCTTCCATCGAATAGTGCATAGGCTATAGGGCTTGAGGTTTGGGAGCACTATGTCTTCCTGGAGCCTAGACTCTAGACCCTGCCCCAACCAACCCGAGTCCCGACGTGGTGAAGATGCCTGGTACAGCCGAAAGCCTCGCACTCTCGCTGGCTGCCAGGTGGCCTCACTCCTCAGCAAGCTATCGGGGGTTCATCTAGCTTTACTGTCAACCTTGCTACCTGAATCCTCCCACATCATTTCTGAACCGTAAACCTCAATAGCCCCCTGTGGGGCCTAGGCCTAGACAATTGACCTCCCATGCTCACTGCAGTACTCTCCCTTCCCTCCCCCTTCAACCCATTGTAAAACCCTCATCCCCGAACCCCTACATCCGTAGCTCCCGAACCCTCAAGATCCTCATCCCAGAACCCCTTGCTTCCATGGCGCTTCGCCAGCACACCCCACTTGTCACCGTCAGGACCGAAGTCTCCTAGCCCATCAACACGCATGTTTGTGCTTTTGGTTCGGGTAGAGCTTAAAAAAGTTTACCGTTTAGTTAACTGTGGTTCGGGGTTTCGTTCCGTGAGGCTTGCATGTTCAGACTTGAGGTTTAAGTTTCAATTCTTTCTTGCTGCTCTTGAAGCATCCGTGGAAACGAGGTTCGCATCATAAAGGTTTTGCAGGCCCCGCACAGGCTGTGAAAGTCCCTCCTTCGGCCATAGATATGGGGTTGCAAGGCTTCGAATCGTAATGTCGTTCAGGGTACAGAGTGGGGGGCATCAAAGGGCTTTGGCCCCCGGGCCTGTGTCCTTGAGTCCTTCAGATTCAGCTACCAACGAACACCAGAAAGTTCCAGCTCTAACTCCAGCAGCACCGACATGAAGCAATGGTGACTCAGGGCTTTCCAGGGGCCGGAGACGAATACTTACAGCGTACAGACGCGCAGATTTCGTTCTCTCCCCGAAGCATCTTGCAGGGCCCTATATCTAAACTGTTTAGGGTTTAGGGTTTAGGGTTTAGGGTTTAGGGTTTAGGGTATCTAAACTCTACTTCCCCTGGAAGTCCAGTATAGTACGTAGCCTATCTACAGTAGGTTCACGGTTGCTGGGTTGTGGGTTCTGGCAGCTCTGTAGAGGGTTCAAGGAAAAGTAACCCACCGTTTCGGGAACTGGGCTTCTAGGTCTCTCTCATCCGAGAGGCCCCTCAAAGTGCCGTAAGCGAAGACTGCCAGGGCCTGCCGCAGTTTTGTGGAGACGCGGGGAGGGGTGCCTCAAAACCAAAATCCGCACTACTGAACCCTGAACCGTACAACCAGAAAAGAACCTACACCTCCAGAAATGCCAGAATTCCACAAAGAAAACAAACCGTGTGGTGCACTGGGCTAGAACGACAATGACAAGCAAATAAATACCTACATACACACGCATATATTTCCATGTATTGAAAAATAAATACATATATATATATATATATATGCATTTGTGTCGGTGTGTGATGCATGCATACACATGTACATATACATATACATGTGCATATACATACAGCTTATACAACATACATACATACATAAATACATACATACATACATACATATACATATACATATACATATACATATACATATACATATACATATACATATATATATATAATACACATAGAGAGAGATGCATGTATACATATATATATATATATATATGTATGTATATATATATATATGTATATGAATATATGTATGTCTGCATGCATCTGTTTACATATAAAGACAGTTGTAGATATAAGAATATACGCATACCTACCTACCTACATACATACATGCATCCATACATGCACGCATGCATGTATGCATGTATGCATGGATGTATGTATGTCAATGTATGTATGTGTATAAGCACACATACACAAACGCCTTTCTGAACATAGACAGATAAATCGTAAGTTGGTTAGCTATAGTTTTTCTAGTTAGACAGTTAGACAAACAACGGACAGATCGATAGATATTGTCTCTTTTACCCTGCTGCACACACAAGAGTTCTCAGACAGATTCGAAATCCGAGCCTTCATGCCGAACAACCGAACCGAAGCTCAAGCAAGTTGCCCTCGTAATGTCTGTAATATAACCTCAGGGGGGCAATATTGAACGTTATGCCGACCTTTGTATCAGCAAGGGGTGCGAGGCAACCCTGAAACCCCATAGCCCTACAGCCCCCTCGCACCTGAAACCCTATAACTTATAACCCTAAAGCCCCCTCGCGCCTGAAACCCTATAACTTATAACCCTAAAGCCCCCTCGCACCTCCGGATTCGGCTCGGCTTCGAGAGTGTCGAAGGCTTCAAGACGGCACATGAGCTCCTGGCTTGGCGGATGCTGCCTTTTTCTGGGTCAGCGCCGAAAGTACCTTAATTGGGATTATAAGTAATTTTAAGTATAGTTGCCTTATTTATAACCTCAGTTACTTAGTCGAGTTGGGCCTTTTGGGGGGTTAGATCATAAATAAATAATTCGGGTTGTGGGTGTGGGTTTCGAGGCACTGGGTGACGCGGAGGATTGCAGGAGCGCCGGGGCAAAGGCCAGGGTTGTGGGGGCCTGGGGCTTGTACTGCACTTACTTTAACACTCACCAACCTACAATCACCACTATCCCACAGTCCTACACCAAAAATGCCCTGAAATCAACTAACCAATTGCGGGGTGCTCCGACAAACACCGACGCTTATGAGATGATTGGGTTGAGCATCGACGAAGGGCTTGGGATTCAGGGCGAAGGGAGCCAGATGATCCTAGTGAGTAACACTAAAATCCCTTTCCAGAACGGGCCCCATCTACACCTGCCCGAAACTGCCGAAACCAATACCAAAAGACATGAAGTTCTGCATCCCAAACCCTAAACCCTAAAATCCTACACAAACCACAAACAGCTCTGAATCCCAAACCCCAAAAACCCCAACATCCTACACAGACGCGCACATCGAGCCTAGACCCGGAACCCCAGATCCGAACCGACAACCGTGTCACCTGGAGCGTCAAACGCTGCCATGCCCCCAAAACTGCATTGACGCGGCTGTCGAAGCGCAAGCAGGGGGTTTTTAGAGAAGGGAAACTGAGCTTTCGGCTTTGGCTTCTTGGAGCTTAAAGAGGCGGTTGGGTATACTAGGTTTAGGGTTTAGGGTTTACCCTAAACCCTAAACCCCTAAACCCTAAACCCCTAAACCGATTGTAGCATGCGAATGTTCGGTCCGCCTCTCGTTGTAGGCCCCATGAAACGGTAACTTGAGAAACTATGAAACCAAAGCCCCAAACGGCAAGCCCTATGAACCATAGCAGGAAGAACGGGTACCCCAAAGTGGGGCTCGGCCTGCTTCAGCTTCGCTGGGAGTTGGTCCACCCTCACCTTTAAGTCTGCCTGTTCGTGAGGGCATCGGGCTTCTGGGTTTAAGGCTAAGGGTTGAGGAGTTCGACAGGTCATGTCGTTGTTTTCAATGTTTTCTGTTGGGTTTAGGGTTTAGGGTTTTTTCCCTCTCGCATGGCAGAGAACTATAGGGTTTAGGGTTTGGGGTTTTCAATGTTTTCTGTAGGGTTTTATTGGGATCGCGAGGGTTTTTCAGGCTCGAGATCTTCATTCGAATACCCGCTATGATGGAACACCTGCGGTCCGCAAATGCTTTTACTTGAAAGATAGGCCGTTTTGCTGAAGCTGTGCCTACTGGGGCCTACATATCGCTTGGCCAGGATTGACAGCAAACATGCATGACAAAATCTCGATTATGCGCATGTTATCCATTAAAGCTCCACTACTTGGCCAACCCATGCCACGGTTCAGAGCTTCAGAACTGCTAAGAACCTATGGTAAGAAAATGCATTAGCCAAGGCAACCAACACATCCTCAGCTTATAGCTATCTCGACTGCAAGCATCTGATCTTGACATCTATGTGCCGGGCAGAAGCTTTGCTTGACCAATTTTCTCAAGCGCACCGGCCCCCTTGGAACCAGAAGCTTAGTGGATGAAACCCCAAAACTCCTGAAACCAAACACCAAACATCAACGCCCTCAGTTCAACCCTGACGCCCCCGGAAATCATGAGCCTCAACCGGGAACCCTAAACAAACGCGAAGCCGTGTGCCTAAGCCTATTACCCGCGCGATTCAGGTACCCGGCCCTTCGCTGACATCAACGACCGAAGGCACTACATCCCTCATCAAATACCCAATACCCCAAAACCCAAGCCCGACACCGCCAACCAGACATCGCACAAAAGCCCCCCCAATAGCATACAGTTGGGAGTTCAGGGTTATTACCCTAAACCCCAAACTGTTAACCACTGGCCTCCTTCAGACTTGGGCTGCAAAGAACCTCTGTAACATCCTGGCCAGAATGCAACAACTATTGAGAGTTTACATAGGGTCTAGTGTGGAGACTACTGTGAATAAGGGAGAAGCGTTGGGTGGAGATGTGTGGGCTTGTTAGCTAGGATCCGATCCGGCTGGCGCAGGCACTTGTGTTCGACGGCATGAAACGTTGGCAGGAACACGCAAAGCCTGAATTAACTTACACCTTAAACCCTCAACATCTTGCATCTGCGTTCCCTTACTTTCAGAACCCCAAAAAAGCATCTGCGTTCCCTTACTTTCAGAACCCCCAAAATAGCAAGAGCACAAATACAAAGCCGTAGCGGGGGTCCTCAGGATCGAAACCCTCTGATGTCAGGGAATCGTGCAGCGGCAGCTGCTCTGAGATCGCCGGCAGGCACGGCCTTTGGAAAACCTTAGAGTAAGGTTTTTTTGACACTCACACTCGGACAAGCCTGGCAAGGTCCACCACGATACTGCCTAGAGTAAGGCTTAAGATTTCATGTCAGGGTTTAGGGTTGAGAGGTTTAGGGGTTTAGGGTTTCGGGGTTTAGTAGGTGGGGGTTTAGTGTTTAGGATTTAGACTTATACGGCAACACACGGGGCAGGAAATGGTATTTTCGAATATTCCTATTCCTACACCAGCTCAGGGTCGTCAACATCCGTCGGGCAAGCCCAATTTCAAAAAGAGAGCTTCCTATAACACCTCGCTTGATTCATCAAGGCTTTGCAAAGTAGTATCATCGGGCCATGTTCAGATTTGGGGGCTTCCGAAAATAGGGGACCCTAATGTAGTACCCTAAATAATAGGATCCTTATTATAAGGACCCCCAAAATAAGGTACCCTAATGTTTGGAAACTCCCATTTCACAGCACAGCCTAAACACGAAACCCTGCGGCAAATGTTCGGGCCTGCAAGGCCCGACACCCATACGCACCAAGTTGCAACCCTGAGCCCTAATCAATTTGGGAGCTAGGATTAGGGGGACCCCTGGGGATATAGACCCTCTCAATAAGGTCCCTTTTAAGAGAGCCAAAAGTAGGGCTCAGAAGGCGTACCCTTTAAGGGGTACCCCTAATAATACTACCTACAATTGTCCTGGTGTCAACCCTGAGCCCGAAGATCCGTTCACCCCGAAACGCCGACCTGAATCTTTCTACGACTCCCGAAACCTTAAACACAAACCCTCCAGGTACCTACTATAGAGAGGGTACTAGAGCCCCTAGGGCCCTATATAGTAGGCACCTGGAGGGTTAGGGTAACCCTAAACCCTAAACCCCTTTCGGAGATAATTCTGAGATCCCTAAACCCTAAACCCTAAACCCTTATAATTCTGAGATGAGCTTCGAAGGGAAAGCAGCCAATGCAACTCTCGGGGCAGAAGGCCTTCAGCAGCCCCTGGCCCAGAGTAGGGCAGGGTTTTGGGGCTCTTGGTCCGCAGGGCCTTGGTTTTAGGGTCTTGGGTTTTGAGGGTTGAGGGCTTTGAGGCTTTACGGTTTTTCAGGGTTTTAAGGGTTTTTAGGGTTAAGGGTTTAGGGCTCAAGAAGTCCAGATGAAGGTGTCGGGCCTATTTTAAGTTTCGGGCCTCTGCCTTCTTCAGGGTTCGACCCTAAACCCTAAACCCTGAGTTAGACCTGTGAGGTTGGGCTCTCGGCTTATAGGCCCTTTCCTGGCTTGGAGCCTTAAGCTCCACGTGCAGGGCTTCGGTGTTCACGGTACAGTTTGAGGGTTTGGGTTTAGGGTTTAGGGTTGACTTCCTTTCCTGGGAGTGCCATGAAATCTGCAGGGTGTGGGGTTTCTGGTTTCTGGTTCCGGGGTCTGTCTCTGGGTTTCGATACTGCGGGCCTCAACAAGAATAACAAAAACTGCCATAAGCCCAAAAGCCCCCAAACCCTAAACACGACCCCAAACCCTAAACCCAATGGCCCAACCCACTCCCCCCTCAAAAAAAAAACGTACGCCGTCGCCATGCCCAAAAAAGCTCCCTAACTTATCCCGGAAAGCCTGCAAGAATGCCATGGGCGGAGCAACGCCGAGAACTCCTTGACGGTTTATATACAATTTAGGAGCTTTGTAGGGTTCATGCAGGGCTGTTGTTTTTTTTTTGCCCCCTGCATGGCTGAGCCAGTCGCGAAGCAGGGTTACAGGGCTGGGGTTTAGGGTTTTTTTCCCTCTCAGAATTGCTGAGAACTATGCTCGCGGTGAGGTCTGCTTTGGAAAGTACTGAGAATGCAAGATTTAGGGCAACTCAACCAAAGTTCAGTCGTGTTACCGAAGTTCGTTGCTGGGTCCAAGTCAAAGCTTTGTTCGTTTTAGCAAAACCGGGTATAGGGTTTAGTGTTTAAGGTTTCAGCACTTGGGGCTCAGGGGCCTTGCGATTGTACTTTGCCTGGACCTCTGATGCCTTTGGGTAGACCATGGATGGGAAGGAGAGGATTTTGGTCTCACTGTAGGTAGAGGATCCCAGACGATCCTAATTTGAGTGCTGTGCTATTAATGCTTCTTGCTCTCTTATAAACCAGGTCTAGGAATCTTCCTGTAAAAAAGCCCGAAACTAAGCAGCCTCTAATCTTTACTTCGTGCGTCCCCACCTATTTCCTGAGCTCCACCAACGGAGACTAGGCCTGTCGTGCTGGCGGTGAGGTGACGCAAGGTCTAAGAGTCCCAAACACCTCCAAAGTAAGGGCTCTATTCTACCATAGGGTTCCAAAATAAGGTCCAGAATTCCTGATGATTATTGATGATATGGCACTTGTTATAGGCTGGTATTGCGGACCGTTTCATGATTATTCGGTACATCGATCCTCAGGGTAAGGTCTACACGCGGCTGCTTTCTTGTCAATTCTCAGTGTCTTCGTCAACATTACTAGCGCCACCCACACAACCACAGCAATGAAGGCCCTTTGACGACGTGACCACGGATCATCGTCCTGATCATCACCGTCACGTCTTCTGCATAGAACTACAAAGATGCAAGTGAGGTTGCGATGGACACGAAACAGACGGATTGTACGCATAGTGACACGGTCACGGACCTATAGTCCAGACTCAACCCTAGTTGCTGAGCGGTACGGAAAACGGAGAAACCAAATGCGGAGTCGGAAACCAGATAATAGTACCCTTTTTGCGTCCGGGCTTGGGAAGTCGAAAGTGGCAGAAAACAGCAGCAAACCATAGACCGTAGTGGAAGCAACGATGACCGCCCGCTGTCCTCTACGCCGGCCGGGGGCTTAGATGCGAAGGTCTCAAGCACAGGCCCGACGTCCGATTCAGGATGAATCGAAACTAAAAACCTAGGGTAGGCTCCAGAAGCTCTTTGTACTCGGTGTGTGGCAAGAGCTAGATGCGAAGGCTGCACTACGCCGCTACATCTTAGGATCCTCCTCATGATGTCATGGTTCCTAGTCCTGGCGAGCTTCTACTAAACCAAGTAGCCGTGGTACAATCCTGTTTTGAACAAGTCCCACATGCTTTGATGCTTTGAGCCAGGTTTGTTTCGCAGCTCCTCCGCGGCTTGTGGCTTGGGGTTTAGGCGCAAGGCTGAGGCATACGGACAACATAGAGACATTCCTGCCCCCGGTCTCTGAAACCTTCCGCTGCAATGTAACGAACCTGCAGCTTTGGACGCAATGGTGTATGCAGGGGATAGAAAACACCCATATCCCATATCCCGTAAAACTCCCAGAGCCCCATACCCCTAACCCTCCAGGTACCTACTATATAGGCCCTAGGGGCTCTGGTACGCTATATAGGGGTTTCCGAAAATAGGGGACCCTAATATAGTACCCTAAAAGATAGGATCCTTATTATAAGGACCCCAAACTGAGGTACCCCCTATTTTTGGAAAGTCTCATATAGTAGGTACCTGGGGGGCTTAGGGTACACCAAGCGATGTCGGCCGGTAGTCTACGCGTTGGCATCAGATCCAGAACTCGAACAAACACGGAGGCTTGAACAGCACAAAGTTCAAGACCAAATCTTATACACTTGGGTAGTTGTCTGAATTAGGGTCCCATTTTGGATCCCAAATATAGTACGGCACTCTTATAAAGAGGACCCTAAAAGGGCAGAACTAACCACATGAGGCTCGTAAACCCCGAAGCCTAAGCTGCCCTAAACGCTCTCACTAGACCCTAAGCTTCAAACCTCCCAACCCCCGCATACCAAATCCCAGAATTCTCGCCTGACCCATTCACCCTAACCTTAAGGGTCCATGTACCCAAACAGTAGATACTTTGGCCCCAAAGTACCCAAATAGGGACTACTTTAAGGCCATTTTTTTTTTATTTAAGGTAATACAGAACTGTTCGTGCCGCTTCGCTGTGACGCTGAGCATGTGGCCCCTTTTGAGCAAGGCCAAAAGGATGCCAAGCCTTGCTTTCACTGGCGTCATGTTCTGAGATAGCTTGTAAGGTGTTATCGGGTCTAACATTTGTCTAAAATCTATGAGGCTCTAGAGGGTTCGATCCACGAACACCTCAATCTCAATATGCATACGGAAAACTATCAGGAAAACCTGGGTCACCTGCATCTTGTTGTGCGCATCAAGGTTTACGCTCTCACAACTCGGACTGGCCAGGGGAGGTATATCATGTGTAAGTCGGCGTGAAATATAGGTGAAGCCTCCTGCGATGCAGGGAAACAGTTCACTACCGGATTACAGGCAATGAGAGACCAAAGAAGAGACAGGCAGCACGCGAGGCCTCGAGAGAGAGTAAACGTTGTTGCTTCTTCATGTGGGTGGTTGTCAAAATTATGGTCCCTTTTTGGGTCCTTATTTTAATACGGCACCTATTATTTAGGGTACCCCAAAAGGGACCATAATTTTGACAACTACCCATGTGTTCGGCTATACATGGTGGTTGCACCTTCACAGCCAAATGCAGTCTCGCGAAGCTAGCGATGCATGTTGCGGGTTGCGGGTCACCTGGAATGAGATTCAATATCATGGGTCGTGTCTAATCCGGATCTTGTTGCCAGCAAGGGCCTGAAAAGAAGTCTTCGCATGCTTACACTGTCACGAACAAGCCCTTGGTAGCGCTCGCGCCTCCAGGAATGATGCAATTAAAATGCTGAATGCATTTTCACTACCCACGCTGTGTTCAGGCTGTAAGGTTTGAGTCTAACAATACTTTCAGAGTGAAGGGGAGCTTCGGGCTGCTTTCAGATTTCCGCATTTCGGACTGCGCTACCGGATTCATTGGGGTAGAAACAACCAAAACCCTGCTCTGACTCTCAGGTTTTATGGTTTAGAGTTTAGGGTCCAGGGTGTTTAGGGTTCGAGGTTTTGGGTCTGGGGCTTTGGGAGTTCTATGGCTAAAAGCCCAAGTGGCACAGCATTCATACCGGCAAGGGTATCTCCGATAGACAGATTTGGCCGCACGGGAGGCTCACCGGGCACACCTGGGAGAATGTTGTACACATCCAGTCCTTCCAATATCCCTTAATTAAGGAGTAGACCTTAAATACCTTTAGATTACAGTATCACAGCCAGTAAATTCCCTAATATGACATACATAAAAAAGAAATATATATATATATATATATATATATGTAAGGTTTTTTCCTAAACCTAATTAAGGGATATTGAAGGCCTGGGTCCTACAGGGGCAGTTAGGCAGAGGAGGCTTTCGAAATTTCAGCTTCCCAGTCCTGAAAGGTTGCAAGTTTCAGGAGGTAGCTACTGAAAGCAGCCACGCATGGATAACATGACATGGTCGATGCCATCACAGAAGCAAATGCACACGTAACATAGACTACCGGATTTTGTCGGCATTTGCACCAAGATGCTTTAATTTGGTGTTGCGGGTTTGCATGTCATGAAATGTCAATAGCCAAGGATGATGGCCACATGCTGCATTTCACCATTCCCTGTATGGCTCAGTTCGAAAGGAGTTTGAAACCTTTATGGTGCTTACGGCATACGGCTTAAATAGTGTACAATGTGCATGTTGCTTCTGGGGTCAGGGCGTTTGTGGCCGTGGCTGAGATTCACCAGCAACGTGCCCATAACAACCCCAAGCGTCGAAGATGAGAAGTCTCCTTGAGAGAACGAATCTTTCAAAAACATCAAATCCGTTTGCTGAATTCTGCTTTAGGCCTGCAGACTCCAAGGCTACGCTTTGCAGCATTGAAGTTCACAATCCCAACGGTTGTTTCTGGCTACCTGCCATGAGGGTGACGATGCTGATGGAGAGTTCAGAGTGCGATGTGCACACTAGAAGTACTGCCGATATGTGAGACGCAGCTTACTTGGAGGATCCTGGGACTTAGTAAGTAGGGTTATAAGTACCCTAATTGGGCTTTTGAGTATAGTTACCTTGTTTATAACCTCAGCTACTAAGTCCCATGATCCTTTAAGTATCGCGCCGGACTAAACAATCTGCTCTTCCTGCAGGAACGCGGCCGTTGATAAAGCGGAAGCCGCCGACGCCCTCACAAACTGACGCAAAGCCCGGCTCGCTGGACCTGGGAAAATGTGCTGAATGATGCTCCCTAAAAAACCTACTTAAAGGGTCATGGGACTAAGTAACGGAGGCTGTAAACAAGGTAACTATACTTATAAGCCCAATTAGGGTACGTATAACCCTACTTACTAAGTCCCAGGATCCTCCAGTAATTGCTTCTAAAGAAGTGTTGGACAGGTGCCTTCAAGGGAAAGCCCATGTACAGTAACACCCACCTCAAACAGCCTCGGGGCCCCGGAGCAGCAACGGATTCAATCTGCAAGGCCCCGTAGCAAAGCAGAGTGCTTACAATCGAAACAGTAACAGCAACATCCCTGTCAACATCGAGGCATCATCCTCATCGTTCTCACCATACCAAGATTAGTATCGCCAGTACTGTTCTGCCATAGCGACGAACTGAAAAGCCCCTCTGTAGTGTACGGGGTCTAGCTTCCGTGAGTTCCTCAGGGTGGGGAGTTCCGGGTTTCGGGTGGAGACACTGGGCCCGACCACAATGAAGACACATGGATGGAACCACCGAGCAAGACTTGGGTTTAGTCGTAGGGAACCAGT